CCGAAAACGGGTTGATGTCATATATGAAGGTCTTTCACATGGTTTTCCATGCTAAACTTCTCGCTTTTCCATAATTTTTTGGAGCTGGTTGATTTTAAAGCAAATTACTTGCTGTCGCGCTCAAAATTTGTTACATTTAACCATGCGAAATCATCTGACGTAGATATCGCATCAGAAAGAGGCCTTAAGCTTTAGTGCTTGGTATGCTTTTGTTTATTATTTTTATAGTTGACTGAGAAGAAATTATCAGTGGCACTCAAATTAAACTTGGAATATATGGAGAAAACTGCGTTATCTGTAGAATTATTTCTAATACTCAAGATCAGGATGCGCTGAATAGTGATTTTTTTGTAGTTTTGTTACGGGAGTGAAGCATGGCGAACTTCAAAAAGACTAGTCACGACCTTTTCAAATGATACAGGCTCTTCATTTTATATATATTATTGACGGTGTAAGTCTAGCAGGTGTTATGCAGTTTAATTAAATGGCATACGTGCGTCGGAACAATCTGCAACGGGCTCTTTGACAAGTTTTTTTTTTACGCACGTTTAGCAACTTGACAAAATAATGCTGACCGACAGTGCATAATACTTTGGTCAGACTTGAGTATGCGTTGGCTGTTTGGTCGCCTCATCACAAACATGACATAGCTATGTTTGAATCTATTCAAAAAGATCAATACTGCTTTTATTTCGTCCAGGGTTTCTCGCCTACATTGCTTGCACATGTTTTATCGCTGCAGCCCCACTCGAATGTCGGCGCACTTGCAATCGTGTCATCTGCACACCGTGCCTGGCGATTCGATCCTGTCTAAATATTGTGCCGGTTAAATCAATTCAGTTGTTATCGTTTTCTTTTTTTTGCTTTTCTGCAGAACGTGCATTTTTGGAATGAGTGATGGGTATCTGTGCAAGCTTGGTGCTGAGCGATTGGAAAAAAGAATTGCGCAAACATGTCTTATTAAATTGTATTTTTTCAATGTGCTTAACATTTGTATTTACGCCTGCTACGTCTCGAAAAGTGAGACAGCAGTATTTGTAAATAGATAACATTGAGACGTGCTGTTTTCACATTAGCTGCCTCGCCCTTTCGGGGAAGCATTTTTTTTTTTTTCAGAATTGAAGGGGAAAGTTTCTATTTGCACCAACTCTTCAATCTTTACTCCCACCCCTCTCTTCCAATGCCGCTTCCGATCTGATGGACCTCGCGCCGTTGACGCGCCTCAGCTGAAAGTGAAAACACCGGCGCGCTGCCACCGGCATATTTGGTATCAGCCCACAGGTCAACTTTCAGCTCACACTGGCCACATCTGTGGCCTGCAGAACCAACCAGTAGAAGGGTGGCCTCCAAGTGTGGTGGCGCCATGGCACAACAGCTGTATGCTACATAAAAAGCTCGCTGATAGCATTACTGTTAAGTTCCGTGACCAGAAATTGTATTGAAGGACTATGCTACCATTAAGCTGACCTATTGATGCTGATTGCCTAATTCTGTGTTTCGACGTTAAAAGTACCCGAGAGATTATTTTTGTTTGCCTGGGATTTTTGTGTGTCATCTGGGCACAAACAAGTGCACGGAACAGAAAATTTTATTTCCAAAACACACTCCCAGCGTGCTGAAAAATATCTGAAGGGTTCAACATAGCATCCTGTTCTTGCTCACAATAGTTTCGAATTTCACGGCCAAATTCAGCCCAAACTCTATATATTGTGTAGAAAAAGTTTCATGCTGGCTATAGTGCACATTACAGCGAATTATATCAAGGCTTTTTTTATGGTGTTATCACAATGAAAAAAAAAAAAATCATAAACTCGGCCCAAATAAAAAAAAAGGTTGCTAACTCTGCGCTTTGGCGTGTTTTCTACTTCACAAAGAGGCTTCAAAACACTGTGAAATATAAAAAAAAGGCCTTTGAAACATTTTTTTCAAAAAGCTCATCTTCAAAAAATAATAAAACAAAAAATCATCAATTTGGATGAAAGTTGTCCATTGAGGAGCGTTCATGTCGCCCTAAACACAATTTCTGTATCGCATGTCCTTGCTTTTTTATAATAGTTCCGAGACATAACGGGCCAAAATAGGCTTTGCTGTGCACGCTAAATTCAGTGGCATTGATATCAGTTTGCACTGTGCTTAAATTGACATTTTTTTTGCTGCAGTAAAACATCGCTCTGGTGGCTTGCCTTGAGGCAAAAAAATGTATTATCAGATTTTATGTGCCTAGAGTGTTCCCCCTGGCACACAGTCTGTAATGTCTGGAGGGCTAAGCCGTATGCAGTTTGTTGCCTAAAACCTCGCCTACAAGTGTCGGAAAAAAGGTGGACGTGCCTGTTCAAGATATCAATATCTTCTTTTTTCTGATGAAATACCTGGTTTACCTCATCGCGGTTCTCATAAAACTTAAATGTTTTTTCATTTTTTTTTAGGCACGCAAGGCAGTGCTAGCGGACGGACATCGTAAATATTCCGGTTATATCGTATTTATTCGCATAATAGGTGCACCCTATGTTTGGTTGCGAGAAATGCGGTTTTTTTTTCTATTCACGCGCATAGAAGGTGCACCTCGAGCTTGGCCGTGATCAGTAATTCTGTACCGTATTTGCACGGCCTTTCTATTTTAACTGAAGCAAAAAAAAGAGCAGAGATCAAAACTGCAGGTGGCATATCATATGCTCGGGCTTGCTGAGCGAGGGAGAAGGGTGGTTATTCAGGTGTCGAAGTAACCACTAACTAATATTTTCATTGGCGCTGGCATGGCTTTGGCCACTAGCCCGACCGCGTACGCTCCGTATGGAACGTGCGACCACGTCCTCAAGTGCGCATTGAGTTTCCTGTCCGAAAAAACATCATCATTATCGCGTTTGCTTGCTTCCTTGTCTGCAAACTTAAAAGCTTTTCGGCTTTTCGACGCGAGGTTTCGTAGCGGTGTGCTGCACACATAGGTACCACTTTCTGGTGCTGCTTAAGCATACTACGCAGGCTGCCAGCGGACAGCTGCATGTGGTTAAATGCACTCAATAGGTCTCGTGTTTCTCGTTCACTAAGGGCAATACTAGCTTGTAAATAATTTAAATAGGCACAGACAAAGTTGATTATGTCTAGATGATCCCCACTTCTGTGCAGCTTGTACTTACTGCTAGGACGCATTGTTACAGTGTATAAACGCGTGCAAACCCCAAGAGTGGTAACGCACAAATTCACAAATACTTTTCTCGCTTAAAAGAAAAATTATTTCGATAAAACTTTCTGTGTGAGTAGCCAATGAAAGTTGCTACTAAATCTGCTATTGAGCATATTTTTCGTAGGACCGTTTAAATGTTGAATTCACAGCCAAACATTTGCAAAAATGCACATTTTTGCAACTTTGTGACCACCTGTAAAGCTCATTTTGCACTGTATACAGCTGAAATTATTTTTGGTCTACAGTAAAGCATTCTGGCAATATGCTGATGTCTACTATCGCATTTTGCCTAATGTTGTCTTTCTATGAGAAAATCTCCAAAGTGGACCATATTCGAGGCCACATAAAAAATTCACAAAAGCATGAAAGCTTGCAAAACTTATTTTTAGTAAAACGCCTACTATTGTTTTACAGGTAAAAATTTGTCGCCTAATTTTGAAAGAATGGATTTTCCGACGTGTTTTAAAGCTATTGTTTCGAGCTTTCCGAAAAAGTTCGCGTGAGGCTTGCGTTACTGTAAAACTTTCTTTTGTAAAAAATCTTTTGGGCGAACACTTTTGGCTTTAGGTAGATAGTTCTGAATTTTTTTCAAGTAAATTGCAGGTGGTCGAGCGCCAAGGTTTGGACAGTTGGTGGTGTAGAATGAGCCATATATAACACACACATGCACGCGTGCACATGTACACGTGCACACACACACACATACACCGCGGAGATGCTTTACTGAAAAGTGTTTTCGTGAGTGCCTAAATAATCTGTCCCAATACTCGGTTCCAGCCGCTTGCATGGTGTGTAGTGAATAGCCGTTGAAACTTGTATAGTGAAGAGTGCTGCATTCATTTTCTCACATCTGCGCTGCTGTCATGTTTCCAGAAGTGCTCACTGTTCTTCACCATAATGAATGCCTTGAGTGAGCTAGTACGTTGTAATGCGTACTAAAGCCAGCAGGAAAACTTTCTACACTGCATTTGTAGTTGGGGTTAAGTTTGGTCATGAAATCCGCAAATATAGCGGTGAGCAAGAACAGGACGCCTGCACTGACACCTTGAAATATTTTTCTGGTGTGCTGGGAGCGATGTTCAGAAATGAAATTTTAATTTTGTGCACTTTATACATGCCCACATGACACATAAAAAAAACAGGCAAAACAAAAATATCAACCGGGCATCCATGTTAGATCCCTAATGTTTTGACAACACAAGACCAGCATTTATTTAGAATTTGCGGGAAATCTGTATTTATTTTAGTGCATCTGTATGCGTGTGCTGGCAGTAAGGCAGCAGAAAAGCCGATGTGGCAAATTCCTGACTACTTTGCTAGGCCACTTTGTTCAGGCCTTCAGCTTTAGGGCTTCGCAAAAAAGTGATTGGTATTTTGAATTATAGGACATCCAGTGTCTTGCAGCGTATTAGGTAGCACTCGAATGAATTTTTTTTTTCTGTACACCTATTCAGTTACAGCATTTTTTCCATCGTGGTATTTCGGCAAACTTTTCTTGAAAAGGTTGGAAATTTTTACAGCGAACTTTCAAAGCAACGTCATGTGGAAAAGCTGCATAAGTAGGCACCTGTGCTGCATATAGAAAATTGGCCCATAAAAGGATTAAAAGGAGTTTTGGCTTCATAAATGTCGGGAACTATGTGAACATTCATGAACAATGTTCAACTGCACCATCTAACTAGTCGGTGACGGCTGTTGCCACTGGCTAATACGAGTTTCAATACCACTGAGAGTATGAAAGGTCACAATAGATTCAAAGGCAAGGAAGTTGCCCTTTCATGCAGATCGGTCGACAAGTATTGGGCTTACTTTTATGAAGTGGTGCAACATGTCTGTGCAGGGTGGAACTCTGCAGCAGTTGGCAGACAGCCTCTGCTGGCTACGGTCAGAAGCGAGGCTGCACAAACGCCAGGTGATGTGCCTTGGCGATGATGCAGAGACAGTTCGCCGTGCATGTGCCTTGCTGGGCAAAGAACTCGTAATCTCGGAGACAGTCCAGATGGAATGGTCATCGGGAGACACTGAGAATAACAATGTCAAGATTGTCTTCTACCGACCTGCACTGCACCTTCCTTCTGTGCTGGAGCTGCAGTACTATGCCAATGCTGTGCTGCCAGTGTTCGTGCCTGAAGCGATTGTTGGTGAGAATTTTTAAGACTTTTGAGTTCAAGCTTCACTTAGTGCTATTCATGGTATAGCAAGAAAAAGTAAAGGCCACAAATGTACTTCCTATCTCATCCTGTTTGATCAACTTAAAGCGGCAGGCATTGTATGAGGCATGTAAGCAAGTTTTGTGTAGATGAGCAGGTGTAGCCATCTGTGTTGCACATTTATTTTCTTTGTGCAGCCCTCAGTTTCAGCAGTACCTGAAACGTGAGCCCTGGTAGCCAAAGTTGTGCAACATGTCCGATACTTCGTCTGACAGGCCAAGCGCATGTTATTTTTATACTGGATATTCTTGGCATGCTCTACTGTTACTCTTGCAGTAATTGTGGCAAGCTAACTTAGTTTTTCAGATTTTTAAAATTAAGTGCCAACTACTCTGTCAAGAACCACTGCAAATAAATTGACACCATCAGGCACAAATTATGATACTGTCTGCAAATGTGCCAAATTCGCACAGCAGAGTTCCAAGGCACTCGATATTCTAAGGAAGGAAATAAGGAAGTATTTTTTTTTGTGAGAGTTTCGGTCAGTATAATATTGACACGTGCGGTTCTTTTGGTTTACGAAGGAAGACGCTATCACTTTCTGTTAAGCGCAACGCAGGCCGCGTTTATCTTGTATGCCACTTTGGAACGCGTTACGACGCGTGTATAAAAAGCCGGCGCAGTGCGCCACTGGGGGTCTTTTTTTTTTTCCGTCGGCCGACGACTGTTCCCGCCGCTGTTGCTGTGAGTTGTGTTTGGCCCTGTTTTACTGGGCACAAGTTCGCCCAATAAACAGTTCGCCTGACACCGCCCTGACTCCTGCGTGCTTCCTCTCAAGTGCTGCGTGTATCACAACCTCGTGACATCTGGTGGAGGTGCTTCTCTGTCCATGTACCGTACGCCCCCGTCCAGCCATGAGCCAAGCCCAAGCCGCCAAGAGGACGACGCCGACCCGGTCGTTCGAGTGAGCCGAAGACAACAAGGACTACCGCCCGAATACCTGCCGCTCCCCGACAAGGACAAGAAAACAAAGGCTGCTACGAAGCCGGCATCCACGATGACGGAAGCAAGGTCTTCGGCAACCGTGGTCGTCAACCAGCCCAAAGAGCCGCCTACCTTCCGCGGATCGACCTACGAAGACCCGGAAAGCTGGCTTGACATTTACGACCGCGTCGCAGCCCTCAATAAGTGGGACCCGGACGACAAGCTGCGTCATGTGTATTTTTACCTGGACGACGCCGCAAGGACTTGGTTCGAGAACCGCGAGTCAACGCTTCAAACCTGGGACGACTTCCGCGTTGCTTTCCTGCGCACCTTTGCAAGCGTCGTGCGGAAGGAAAGAGCCGCATCACTGCTTGAAACTCGGGTGCAGCTCCCCAACGAAAACGTAACGATCTTCACGGAGGAGATGACGCGACTTTTCCGCCACGCCGACGCCGACATGTCTGAGGACAAGAAGGTTCGCCTGCTTATGCGAGGAGTGAAGCAGGAGCTCTTCGCCGGACTGATCAGAACCCCGCCAAAGACGCTACAAGAGTTCCTCTCCGAGGCTACCACCATCGAGAAGACTCTTGAAATGCGGACCAGCCAATACGATCGGCGCATGTCGCCAGACGTCGCAGAAGTCCGAGGACTCTGCCCCGACGACCTGCGCGAGACCATACGCGCTATGTTCGTGAAGAACTGCGCCGCATGTTGCCATCGTCTCAGCCCCAAGTCGCCTCTCTCGAAGACGTAGTCCGCGAGGAACTACAGCGCTCACTGAGCGTTCATGAACGGCCACAGCCCCAACCGGAGGCGATGACCTACGCCGCTACTGCACGACGACCTGTCGCCGCTCCTCGCCAACACCAGGACCCAACGTCTCCGCAGTTTCGTCGCCAGCCACCGCCGCCACCCCCGACGCCTTCCCGCTCGCCAGTAATCCAGCGCTCGCCGAGGAAAACTGACGTTTGGCGCACCCCGAACCACCGCCCACTATGCTACCACTGCGGTGAAGCCGGGCACACCTACCGCTACTGCCAGTACCGTGAGATGGCACTGCGTGGCTTCGACGTGAACGCGCCGCGTCCGCGCCCAGGTGAGCGACCTCGCGACATCGCCGACTACATCGCCGGATCGCAGTGGCAACAACGACGACCATCCCGTTCACCTTCGCCTGGCCGCTGCGTCTCCCCGGATCGCCGCCAGTACACCGGCCCTAACCGGGGCCGATCCCCAAGCCCCTACCCGGGAAACTAAAGGCAGCAACCGATGGAGGTGCGGTTGCTGCACGACGCAATGCCGAAGATCCTCCTCCGCCGCCGCCGCCGCTGCCGATGACGACGACCACGACGCACGAACTTTCCCGACGTAGTCGCAGTACGCCGCCTGAGCAGAGTCTTTACGACAAAGCCTCGCCGCCGACGCGACATAGCAGCACCGGACCAAGCCGACGCAGCCGTGATCCGACGCCCCGACCTAACCGGAACGCCAGACGACGAACCACCGACCTCGACGTGATCATCGACGGCCACAGCGTCACCGCCCTAGTCGATACCGGCGCCGACTACTCTATCATCAGTGGTCTCTTCGCCGCTAAGCTCAAGAAGGTAAAGACTGCATGGGAAGGACCGGATATCCGAACAGCAGGGGGCCACCTTATAACACCGACTGGAACCTGCACGGCAAGAGTCACGATTCACAGCCAGACGTATTCTGTGAATTTTGTGGTCCTGCAGCAATGCTCGCGAGACGTCATTTTAGGCATGGATTTCCTGGACCAGCAAGGCGCAGTAATCGACCTAAGATCCAGGTTAATCACGCTGTCCATGGATAATGCAACGGCGTCAGACTGCAACGTCGCTCACAATGCCTTGAATGTGACAGAAGAGCAGGTAACCATCCCGCCACTGTCGAGCGTCATCATTTCCGTCGGCACCAAAGCGTCTACCAACTTACAAGGTGTCATCGAAGGCGACCAGCACCTGCTCCTAAACCGTCAGATGTGCGTCGCAAGAGGCATAGCCAAGCTTCATAACGGCGAAGCCAAGGTAATGGTGACGAACTTCAGCAACGAATATAGGCACTTAAATAGGGGCACGACGGTAGCACATCTAAGCGAATTTGTGGAAGCGAGCAATGCCTTCGCCCTCACTGATTCTCAGGGAGCCGCAACGTCGACAGCAGTGTCCGCACCCGCCTTCGACGTCAATCAAAGCCTTTCCAGGCAGCAACAAAAGGAGCTCAAAGCCTTACTCCACCAATACAAGGACTGCTTCTCGTCGTCGTCGAGGCTTCGTCAGACCCCTCTCGCGAAACATCGCGTCATAACCGACGAATATGCCCGTCCGCTCCGTCAGAGCCCCTACCGAGTTTCTGCACGGGAACGCGAGGCCATCAAGCAACAAGTCGACGAAATGCTGCGTGACGACATCATTCAGCCGTCTACGAGTCCGTGGGCATCACCCGTGGTGTTGGTGAAGAAGAAGGACGGAACCCTACGTTTTTGCGTCGATTATCGTCGCCTGAACAACATCACGAAGAAAGATGTGTATCCCCTCCCACGGATAGACGATGCTCTGGACAGACTCTACAACGCCAAGTATTTTTCGTCGATGGATCTCAAAACCGGCTACTGGCAAATCGAAGTAGACGAGAGAGACCGAGAGAAGACTGCCTTCATAACACCAGACGGCCTATTCGAGTTTAAGGTCATGCCCTTTGGTCTTTGCTCGGCGCCTGCGACGTTCCAACGGGTTATGGACACAGTACTCGCAGGCTTGAAGTGGCAGACTTGCCTCGTCTACTTGGACGACGTAGTCGTATTTTCTTCCAACTTCGACGAGCACCTCCGGCGCCTTGAAGCTGTTCTTCGGGTAATCAAAGCCTCGGGACTTACCCTGAAGCCAGAAAAGTGCCGCTTCGCCTACGAGGAACTATTGTTCCTTGGCCACGTTATCAGCAAGTCGGGAGTGCTCCCTGATCCACAGAAAACAGCTGCGATCGCCGACTTTCCTGCACCCACCGACAAGAAAGCAGTACGCCGATTTCTTGGCCTCTGCGCTTATTACAGGCGCTTCGTGAAGAACTTTTCGCGGATCGCCGAGCCACTGACGTACCTCACGAAGGCCGACGTCGACTTCAAATGGGAAACGCCGCAAGTCGAGGCATTTCAAGAATTAAAGCGACGCCTGCAAACGCCGCCAATACTGGCGCACTTCGACGAAGAAGCTGACACCGAAATTCACACGGACGCAAGCAGCACAGGGCTCGGCGCCGTGATCGTGCAGAGGACCGACGGACTTGAAAGGGTCATCAGTTACGCTAGCCGGTCACTTTCGAAGGCAGAAGCCAATTATTCCACGACAGAAAAGGAATGCCTTGCCATCATCTGGGCTACATCAAAGTTCCGCCCCTACCTGTACGGCAGGCCTTTCAAAGTCGTGAGTGACCACCACGCCTTGTGTTGGCTAGCTAACTTGAAGGATCCATCAGGGCGCCTCGCACGGTGGAGTCTCAGACTACAAGAATTTGACATCACCGTCGTCTACAAGAGCGGACGAAAGCACTCCGACGCCGACTGCTTGTCTCGCGCCCCTGTCGATCCGCCGCCCCAGGATGACCAGGACGACGACTCTTTCCTGGGACCCATAAGTACCGACGACTACGCGGAACGCCAACGAGCTGACCCGGAGCTCAAGATCCTCATGGACTACCTGCAAGGCAAGACCGCCGACGTGCCGAAAGTATTCCGCCGAGGACTGGCTTCGTTTTTCCTGCGAAACAACGTCCTCCTGAAGAAAAACTTCTCGCCGCTCCGCGCCGACCACCTCCTCGTGGTACCTTCAGCGTTACGTCCAGAGGTTCTGGAAGCATTACACGACGACCCGACAGCCGGACATCTTGGTGTTTCCCGCACACTGTCACGAATACAAGAGAAGTACTATTGGCCTCGCCTCGCTGCCGACGTCGCCCACTACGTAAAAACATGCAGAGACTGTCAGCGACGC